CGTTACAATATCTATCTGATTCAACATAAATAAATCGGGCGCAAACCCTCAAGCTGGCAACTACGCAATATGGATACAAATTTTCGAACCAATCTGAGACCTAATTTCTATATGGCATAATAATGACGGCGCAATAATGACGGAAGTGCCAAATAGCTTGGGATATTCTATTCGCGAGTTTAACTACCGATAGGGGCGCTGCGAGACGTCAAACTACTCGTTGCCGAGTGACAGTTGAGACTTGTCAGACTTGTCTATATATTGGAGTTGGTAAACAAACGAGAGTTGCGATTGTAACAAAAAGAAATGTGAATGAATTGAGAATCAATGAAAAGCTTGCAAAAGTTGATTAGAACTAAACAAAACAAATCACAATCAGATGTCGATCTACTAGTTAACTTGGAGGTGAACTGATCACTTTGTTGCCAAATTTTCAGCAAATATATCCGATTTCAGTGACAGTTGCAAAATGAAAAATCCTTCCCAGTGGGAAGAGACATTGAAAAATCCATTATTCCGGAATGCAAGCGAACGTAAAATGTGACTCAGCACGGCACTTTGTACCCGAATATACAGCAGGCGAAATATATCGCCCCGGTTATAAAACCTTAACAGGCCCAACATAAAAATCAACCGTCGCGTCTTCTGTCATATCCTGTGACTTGGGCTTTTTACCCTTCGCGATCGTTCCCGTAATGAAAAATACGGCACGACTCCCCCTTTAGACAAAGTGCACATATAAAAATATTTGAGGTTGGAAATCGCTGGTATTTCGCCGACAAATCTTCTGGCAATTTTCCGGCTTAGGTACGCGCTGTCCCACTTTAGTACGGGACCTTGCGACCTTTCACTCCTGTTGGCAACTGTGTACTTCAGACAGTGGGAGTTACGTCTTTTATGTATTTGACAGATCACTGCCAATGTCAGTGTCACTGTCAAGGGCAGAAAAGCATTTGAAACTTTTAATGGGTTGTGGAGATTGTGGTCTTGGAAAATAGTTAGCTAATTAAGGTTATTTGAGTAATCGGAATATGTACCGGGCGCTGTCGGTAATTAATAATGGCGGTTTAAGGTATTTTTGGTTATTTCAAATGTGGGCATTGGAGCCCGGACTATAGGGGGGCGGTTTAAAGTATTTTTGGTTGTTGGAAATGAGTGGTGCTCCGCAGAACAAATCTGTGGCGCACAAGAGCCGTTTTATTAAAGCGATTCCCGCATGAACTGATTTATGGCGGGGGCCCCAAAAATGAAACCGACATTCCTCGGCAGCGCATTGTTCGCATACCTAAAGAACTAGAGTGCCATTCCTGGCCGCAGCCACCCTCTGTTTTTCATGTAAATGTGCGCGTATTACCCGCTCGCATGCCCAGTGTAAATGCGACGTCTTGACAGTTGGCTATGACGTTTAATTAGGCCATTGAATCAGCACCTGGACGAGAGATGGCGTCGATGCAACCTTGCACGGGTTCCTGCCACGTCAACTGCGAGGCAGGTGTGTACAAAAACACCAGTTTTTGGTCAGTTTTTGAGTGGAGAGTAAAAATGTTTAGCCGGTAGTTGAGGGGCAGCCTACGCAAACCGGGACAGAGGAAATGTGATTAAACGTGGCCGCGCATCCACGCCATACGGTCTGCTTGCTTGATGTATTCATGGATCATAACGTGCGGACATATATCAAGGCTGTCTCGGTTATTTATGACATGGGGCCCCGGAGGGATGCAGAACATTTTATTAATCAAGCCGACGATGATTATCTACCGATGACTGGGCGGTTAGCTCCGCTCTGTCTCTTTCTCTCTCGGGCCATAATTAATATCACTGGCGACGATTCCGGGGATTTTGTTTCGGGTTTAAACTGTTTGTTGTGGCCCCCCTTTTTTTTATCATTTTTTCACTGGCTGTCGCTCCATCGACTTGTTGTGGCAACACAGAGCATGACATTTTTGCTTCTTTTCATTTAGAGGTTGGCCATTGCTGTTAAAGTTCTATTGTGAAGAGCCCGTTTGCGAGATGCTCTATTGAAAAGGCGTGTGGTAGTTCCCCTACGGTACCTTATCAAGGGCTTAATATTTTTTGATGAGCTGCTAATACGTGTTTGCTTTTGAATCTGTCCACGTGGTTTCTTGCACCTCTTCTTTTTGGATGGCGTCTCCTATCAATGTTCTCTTCAGGGTTGGCTTGATTTTTTTCAAGTGATTTCAATCATGATTTTAATCGTGATTTAAATCACCTGACTTTTTGGAAAAAAATCACGATTTAAATCAAAGTTAATTTTTTCAAAGAAACTTTATATTTCCACTCATAAAATATAGAGCAGAACACAAATAATTCTAAGAAATGAAAATTAAAATAGAAAACGGTCCATGTGAACTTAAAAATTAAACGGTATTAATGGTGAACTCAATAATACTAAAACGGAAATCACTTCTCTTTCTCTTCATTTTCGTTATAAAGTCTGAAGAGGAACACTAATTTCCCTCCTTTTTCGATTCCCAATCTGTTCCTGATATGCGAATGTGCTGAACATCATTTCGACAGACGCAAAAGATGCAGTGGCACAAAGAAACTGTTTTATAGTGGGCAAGTGTTTCGCAATTTCCGGATCATCTCTCGGTGATAGCCACCACTGAAGTGCGTTCAAATTTTTCAACTCCTCATCAGAAAACATAATTTATTTGAAAGGACTGCAGCAAGCGTTGAATTTAATAACTAGTGGCAACAATCCCGAGTTTACATGAAGCTCACTGATAGTCTCCAAAGCCAGATTCTTCTCTTCAGGAGTTAAAGCGTAGTTTT